GATGTACTCTATCACGCAAATACTACTGAATGGATTTTAATGAAACTTTACAATAATATAGCTTATACATCAGAATAGGACATAGGCTATAATTTATATACATATTTTATGTATCTGTCTTTCTGTCTGAATGTTACGCCTTCCGCCTATTCTACGCAGACGTAGTCGCGGCCAGCAGCTAATTAAAAATATATCAAACTTGTTTAGATCTAACTCTTATCAGCAAGTACGTACTTACACTATAAACGTATCTACACCACTCGAAATGCAGAAGTATAATATAATACTTCCAGTTCGCGCCGGTCTTCTGTGAGGTCGTGGATGGGTCTTGACGGACGTGCCCATCTTGCAACAGCGAAGATTGTTACATGGCCCTACCACTTAAATATCACACTTAAAATACTTTTTTGTTATTATTTCGAAAATAAGAAGATTTTTCAAGCGTTTTCTTCCGCGCCGAGCACGCGACGAGGCGTGCATCGAGATTTGAACCTAGGTTGTTTGAGGTCCAGCCCTGTAGTCCCGGGCCGAGATTAGGACTAAGGTATCTCCTGCCTGTCGTAAAACACAACTAAAACGGGACACGGTTGATAGCAGCACGAGGTGGCCACGAGCTGCTGCAAGATGGCGAGGGGATCCCAGTACCGACGGACCTGTGCGTTCCGTAGGAGATCCCGAAGTCCCTCCAAGCGTACAGAAGACAGCCACCGAGGGGGTTTTAGTGGGTAAGAACCCCATATGAAGACAGGGTATCTTTTGAAGATTTCCCTTCCCGATACCAAAAAAAGGTCATTTAATTCAAATTGCGTGCCCGAACACTGAGCTGTTACGTTTCTTGAATCAGCAATATTACTATCAGATTAATTTCATTCGGGCAACACACGGATACAATTTTATCCCGCAAAAGCTATCTATATTTGTTTCTTTGACTTGCACCGTATTCACTGCACCGTATTCGTGAAGGGCTAAGATGGCAGTATCGTTATAGAAAAAACCGCGCGCACAGCCGATGAGCCCATTTACACCTTATATGTCAATTATTTACGACTTTTATTCCGACCGCATGCCGTTTTTTCGCCTTTGAGCAGACGCACCGGCGATAAGCGACTTTATTGATCGATTTCCAGAGCAGCGGTCGGATAACTGAATAATTCGAATTCTAAAGTTACCCACCTGTGCGCTTTTGTGACGGGTTTCGACTTAATTAGGCTCGTGTCTTATTTGTAGTTAGTCCGCGATTGTGTTGTTATTAATAATTTAAAAACTAACGATAGGGCAGACAAATAATGACGTTCAACGCACAACGCCATAGTCTATCCCGAGACCATGAACCCTGAAAAGGATTCGTGCCTGGCTAAAGATTGCTTTATAAGTATTCGCCGGAAACTGGGAAATTGACTGCACCAGGCTCTATTGGATGAGATTATCCTGAATGAACCACATACCGTTCTGATAGACTGGCCTCAGTCAAGGATATTTTGGTAGGCATTACAGTTCCTAGCCCTGTAGACCCGGGCTCTAGAATAGGACTAAGGTATCTACTGCCTGTCGTAAAAGGCAACTAAAAGGAGATATGGTTTGCAGCAGCTCGAAGTGGCCTCGAGCTGCTGCAAGATGGCGAGGGAATCGGGGAAGGTTTTTCTCCGAGGCGTGCTCACGCCCAGTACCGAGGGACACCGTTGCGTTCCGTAGGACATCCCGGAGTCTCTCCAAACGTACAGAAGGTGGCCACCGAGGGGGTTTTAGTGGGTAAAAACCCCACATAACCTTGTCACATAAGGACAGGGTATCTTACAAACGCCCGGCCCCAATACCAAAAAAAAGGCATTACAGTTCCACGTGAAGAGAAACTTATGAACGCCGAAATAATTAGGTATACACCCCAAATATTTTTGGTTTTACGTTATTATAACAACGAGGTAAGATCTAATTTACAATTTTCTTACTATTTGCTTTTTTTCTGAACGATAAAAGAAAATTTTTCATTTAAGTATGTTTTTTTTGAAATTAGGTCTATTTTATAGTGTTATCACGACTTTATGATTAAATCAGATATATTTGGAAGTCAATTTTCTGTGTATTCATTTGGTAAGCCTTATTAAATAAATAGACAAATAAACCGATACGAAAAACAAATATTTGGACCTGTGAACGGTGAATGGTATGCGTGGTCCATTGCTAAGCATTGTTATTTTGAAACACCGATGATAAACTGATGCACGAGGACTCCATGTCAGGTCGCTGAAGGCTCAAATACATAAGGCGCTGCTCCTTGCTACCGCTTCAGTTCCTTACTCTATCTTCCTAATCAGCCGTTTGTTCTCGCCCAGCAGTGGTACATATATAGGCTGACACTTTACTTTTACTTTACTACGTCATCATCATCCTCCTGCTCTTATCCACCTAGGTGGGGTCGGCACAACATGGTGTTAGCGGTTTTGGCTATGTGTTTACGACCGGCGGTCGGTCTGACGTCAACCCTCTTTGGGAAACATGCACCCAGATCCGGAAGAATTATCTGTGGGTCACACATATAGTTGTTCCGTGTGGGAATCGAACCCATGACTCTGGACACCGAAGCCATTGGCAACGACGCGTCACAAGTAGAGGCGATACAACGGTGTACTTCACTTCTTCATGTTATAAAATCTCGCAGGTAATTATTTTTATTGAAGACTTTGCTAATAATATTCTATAGGCGTTTAGTTGTTTAAACTGTTATTGTAATTACAAGTATACGTTGATCGAAGTTTCTTTTTGAGGGCAAAACCATTGTAAACTGTGGTAGGGCCACGCAATGGTCACTGCACGAATGGGCAGATCCACGACCTCACAGAAGACCGACGTGAAGTAGAAGTGGTAGACTTTTAGAGGTAGCTGGGACCCACTTTGTTTAAAGGTGCAACGCATGCAACCCCACGGGTGTTGCAAATGGTAATCACTTAACATCAGGTGAACCGTCAAGCTCGTTTGCCTCTTTGTCACATAAAAAAAGTAATCGTTACCCAGGTAGTCTTCGGCTACTAGATTTGAATCAATGACCCCAGTCAATGAAATAGCAATGCTATTGACTTAATCATAAACATTGTTTTTCAGTCTCTTTGCTTTTATTGAGTGGACAGTTGCATTTGTAAACAAAATGGTGGTTACAAGCGGAGGGTTGTTAATGAAAGACCAAATGTATTACGATATTGGCTTTTAATCCATCTCTTAGATTTTTTTTAAAGGACAGAGTAGTTATAAACATTTCCAGTAAAACGTATACACGAGTGAGACTTAACGCGGAGATGTGGTTTCGATATGGGCGTCTTAAGTTCAGCTCAAGTTAGCAACTTCACTAAGATGTATCGATACTGCCGAGTATGGAATTCATATGAGACAAACGCATACACACATCAGCGATGCGAGATTCCAAATGATGACTTGAAAAACTCTTCAGTTCATTGGAGGTATCAGATTGAATATTACGCCATGTTTTGTTTCAACAAATTGATTTTTAACTTTTTTTCATATATTTTGGTTTGAACGATTTTATCATTTTCAGTTCATACCAAATATGACCTTATATAAAAATTAATATACAAGTGTCTTTTTTTAACTATTTCTATGTATGTCGTATTATTAGATCTGAAAATTCTTTACTATTTTGTCAACTAGTTGTGGAAACTACAACACGTGATTTTTGACCTCATGTGGAACTTCAAAGGTCAAAACTTACTTTCAAGTAGAATCTTTTGTAATTGCAAAATGTGGACAAACCTTACACTCAATATGATTAAAGTTGTTTGCCAATTGCAAACTGAGCAAAGAAAGTTGCTCTTGAGCTGAAAATCTTCGAGAATGTTCAATGTCGTGAATCCAAAAAGTTTTCAAAAGATTTGTGCGTCGTATTATAGAACTAGATATTATCATTAGAAGTACTCGCTAATTATCGACCTTCTATTGATTGTTTAAAATTGTTTTGTTTTATATTCATCGTATATTCTACTTAAACATTATATCTACATAACAGAATGGACTATTTGTAATTATATACTAGATTGTCTTTGGCGAAGCTATGCTATTTACAATAATAGGATGATCGATATAAAACTAGGCGACAGAGAATTAGTTGGACTAAAAATTTTAATAATTTTAACATATGTAAATATATTCTCAAAAAAAAAAAAGACAATGACAAATTATGATCTTCTACGTCAAATATATCCCATCTGTAAGCAACTTTGTTGTAATATTAATGGGAATTACAAAAAATAGATTTTCAATGAGTACCTAGTAACTATTTTAGTGAGCAATACAAAGATGCTGATGAAGATACTTTGAAAGTTTTGTCAGAATTAGAGGAGAGAGAAATAGAAATAATTGTAATTTCACGCTAAATAGTTTTGTTCTCGTCTGTATCCTACAAGTCACAAATATCTTAATTATTGGCCATAATATTAATATATATTTTACTCATATGATGCAAATGGAATTACATACCTATCGTCATCCAAAAGAGGATGTTTTTTGATCATGTTGCGACAATTATACTCGAAAAATTTTTCACCCAGCGAAGGCCTTCTCCAGAACACCAGCGTTTAATAAACTATCCATCTTTCCAGGTTTTTACAATATTTTACAAAAGTAAGACATAACAAATAAATGGAATAATCATTCTACAAATATAAATAATTTGAACTGTATTGAGCTTGTCACAATCATTGATGATGTCACAAAAAGTTACTAACATGTTTCCTCTTAATGTTCCTTTAAAAAAGATACGGACAACTTCGAAATAGCCATTGTGACGTAATCTAAATTTAAAAAATTGTATTAAATTGAATTCGTTACGAAAATTAAAAGCAATAAATAAAACATTCATCATTTCAAACAAATTACAATAGCAACAAACAACATCAGTTTAAAAGAGGCTTTTAAAATGTTCCGAAATGTACAAAATTAAAACAAACTATTTTCCATCACCATACCGCTATAGCGATCAATTGGTTTCGGAATTATCTCTTGGAATCCCTGCGCAGCAGCCTGTTGACCCTCGAGATCCTGTTCTTATATGTCTCTATTGGCGCCATGCGCAAAAGCCTCGTAGCCGCCGCGCGGGTCACCGCCGCCTTGTAGCTTTCCCGCGTCAAAATGGCGGGCGTGACGCGCGTCCGCAAAATGTCCGGAACCAAGACGGCGTCATCCGACAACATGGCGTCGATGTCCACATTGAGCATGGCCAGCGAGTCGGACGCGGTGTAGTTGGCGACGGGGGTGCACAGCGGTATAGCGTTCGACCACTTCCTGTTCCTGAAACGTGGATGTTTGTTAGAAAAATTGAAGCTATAGAGCTCAGTATACGTTAGATGTAACACGTTTCTAATCTTATTATAGTGAAAGGGTAATTTAATCTGAGTTGGAAACTTGTCACCATACCTGAACTGATAGTATTTTTCTATTGGCGATTCTGTTTATGTGAAAAAAATCCAGAAACATTTCTTTCTAAACTTCTAGCAACTTTGATAAAATGGTGTATTTTGACGATTTTTGAGAGTTATTTTTGCAATTTCTTCTTATTAATTTAATATAACATGTAAGTCTAAATAGGAACCCACCCTAGTATTAAGTATAGGGAACGATGATTCGGTGGCCTAGTTGCTAAGCTAGTGGCCTCGGCGCCGGAGTCATGCGTTCGATTCCCAGACGGAACAAGTATTTGTGTGACCCAAAGATAATTGTTCCGGATCTGAGTACTTGTTCCCACGGAGGGTTGACGTCATGCAGGTGGCCGGTCGTAAAAACCTAGCCAAAACCGCCTACAACATGATTCACACGTTGTGCCGACCCAACCTATTTGGGATAAGGGCAGGAGGATCGTGAAATTTCAAAATCCCTAATACCTTCGCACCCTTCAGTTTGATCGGATGGGGGTGCTTTACCAGATAAATGATAGGTCGAGACTCACTTGAGGCACCGCAGCATCGGCGCTCCCTTGATCCTGTATCCTGGCTCGCACGTGAAAGACACCGTCTCCCCAATTTTGTAGTAGAACTTCACGGAGGACATTCGCCCTGATATAGTCGTTCCGGGATATGTGCACGCTTGGGCACCTAGCGATATGCAATGGAAATTTATACTCTTTAAGCGGATGTCCAATTGTAAAGCGTCATTCGCATCTGGTATTATACAACGTTGTGAACATTTCAGTGTTGGTTTATATATTTTTTTCCCAGTTTCGGCCTCATTTGTTCAAGTATTTTTACAATCAATGTCACTTTTGACAGATTAAGAACTGTTAGTATATGACATAAGCAACTTATTGGTATGGGCGTTGAACCCAATATTGGTTGTTATGTCAAAATCTTTTCTACTGCCTAAAGGTTTATATTACAATTGGATAAATATGCTGTTTATACATTTGAAGCGATTTTTATTATTTTAGTATGTGTAGCGTAATAATCCCATATTAGAAGACCGTGTTAACAAGAAGGATCGGAAAACATATACAAATCTTTAGACAGAAAGAGCTGCTTGCAAAAAACTCTGTTTCGTATTTAACGTTCATTATTTTTATTTTATTCATTTTCACAGTAAAAGCCACAGCTTTTTGTTAAAATTTTGTGATAATCTATTCACATACTTTAGAAAATTTTATTTTATAGTCAATCTATTGTGTTGGGTGTTCTAGTCTTTTCTTTGTCAGCTTTTCCCTCGGTAAAATATACTATTTTTACCACTCTATTGCATTACTTTGAACAATTCACGCTGTTATTTTGCTCCATCTATTAAACTGGTCCTAACTTTTGCCAAGTTTAATACACAAGTGAGATTTTTAAAAATCTTCTTACTGTCTGTCTTAAACATAAAAAACACAAACCAAAAAAGTTACTAAAGCGCAAATATAAATTGTAAATCAAACCACAGAACGAACAGAAGAGACGAAAGCGGTCACACAAACCAAAGAAACGAAAACACAAACCAAAGAAAGAAAGAAACACAACGAAAGCGTTAAAAAGAACGGAAACGAACCAAAGATAGAAACGAACACGAAGCAACATCTACTGATTGAAATTACATTGTTAGTTGTCAAATGCGTTTATTCAGTGAAAGCGAACTGACGGCGGCGCTCTACTCACAAGTCGGCGGCTTATCGCTCCACCGACCGCTGTCCTGGCACACGAGGATGGGCCGCCCGTTCAGCGTGTGCTCCGGGTTGCAGTGGAACTGCAGCACGTCGCCAGCCCTGAACGGCGCCCGCCCCAGCACGTAGCCGGAGGCGGGCGGCGGCAGCGCCGGGCAGGACACCTCTGCAAGGTCAGGTTTCTACAGACACGCTCTATACGTACACGCCAGAATGGTACCATTTTATGTGAAGAATTATCAAGTCATGAAGATTTCTGCAGACACGAGCAAGGTCACCATTTCTACAGACACGTTCTATACGTGTACGCCAGATTGGTCCTATTTCTTTATGTGAAGAGTTATCAAGTCATGAAGATTTCTGCAGACACGAGCAAGGTCACCATTTCTACAGACGCGTTCTATACGTACTCGCCAGAATTGTAATATTTTATACGAAGAGTTATCAAGTCTGAGCCGTGGTAGGTCAGTGTCCGGGCGCTCGCCTGTAATTACATTTACTCGAGCAACCTGAGTTCGATCCCCGGTGCCAAATTAACCAATGAAATTGCTGATTTTAAGTGCTTAATTATCACGTGCTCAGCGGTAAAGGAAAACATCGTGAGCAACCTGCATATTTTCGAAATAATAAAAAATATTTCGAAAATATGTAGTTTGCCAATGCGCAGTGGGGCCGCGTGGTGGACTATGCCCTAATTCCTCTTTACAGAGGAATTGCCCAGCAGTGGGACATTTATAGGCTGTTACTTTACTTTTTTTAGTAAGTCATGATTTCTACAGATACGTTCTATACGACGTACACGCCAGATTGGTACTATTTTTTAAGAGAACAGTTGTCAAGTCATGATTTCTACAGACACGTTTTATACGACGTACACGCCAGAATGGTACTATCTTTTATGTGAAGAGTTGCCAAGCGTGCAGACGGTTCATGTGATGTTAGGTGATTACCGCCGATGGACATCTGATACATCAAAAGGAGATGAAATGCGTTTTTTTATGTGAGGAGTTGGCAAGCTAGATGGCGGTTCGCCCGATGTTTTAACCGCCGCACATGGACATTTGACACACATAGTGATGCCACCTTATGATAAAATGGGCGCTGGCAGCCTTTTAAACAGTTGGTCCCAGTTACCTCACTCACTCGACGAAACGCGAAAGTATGTCCATTCGAGCAAAAGTAAAAGTTGCCACGTGGCCCTACCACGTGCAATAAATAAATAAAAAATTAAACTTAACATCTATGAATGACGTTTAAAAATCAAGATCAAGACGACCCAATTCGCATAGTGGATAGTGACTGTCTGTCGTTTTCGCCCGAGGGTGTGGGTTCCCCACTACTGGAAAAATATTGTGTGACGTACATAGTGTTTTTCTAGTTTCTGGGTGCTTATGTATCTATAATAAGTATTTATTTACAAGTATGTGTATGTATTTTTATCAGTTTTCTAGTACTCATAGTACAAGCTTTGCTTAGTTTGGGATTTGATAGCGTTGCTTAAAAAAGTATGTCTCGTAATATTTATTTATTTATCACTAGCGACCCGCCCCGGCTTGGCACGGGTGCAATGTATAATACATATAAACCTTCCTCTTGAATCAGCTTGGCGGCATCACAGCGGGAAATTTTAAAGATCTAAGACTTGTTTTTTTCTACTATGTAGTGATTAGTTCTCGCCAACCTCTGCAGACGGGGAAGGGCTTAGCCCAGTCGGCTGCCGGCAGGCAGACCGTCTCTGAGGCCCCGTTGAGCGCCCACCCTGGCGGGCAGGAGAAGGCTGCCCGACCCCCAACTCCTCGCGACACCACTGTCACGCGCGGTCGGCGCTCACCCTCGTTCAGGGGACCATCGAGCACCACGTCCCCGCATTCGACACCTGCGAAAGCAAGTGATACATTGTTAGTAACAAAAACAAAACCAACTGCAAATATTTTTTTGTTAAAGACCGCTCATACTTTAGGATGACATTATCCCGTGTCGTAAGGAAGTTTTACATACATAAAGGACAATGGAGAAATCTTATATAGGAAAAAATTAAGCGTTTAAAAAATTGATATTCAGGCTTCTAAATATAATTATTTTCCATGATTTTTCGGCACATTAACGTCAGTTGTTAAACTTTGTATAAAAATATGTGTTTATTAACAACTCAATTGACTTTTTTGAGCTCCATTTTGGTTTCATAAGTTTGCGAGTAATGACTTATGACCAGGGTTGGATTTTACTGTAATTATAGTATTTATACTGTAATTTAATGCTTCGTACTATATACTATCCATATTTAGGGAACTATACTATAATTTTGTTACTTTACATAAAAAAAACAATATAAATGCCAATCCAACATTTTTTTAGGTTCAACAAGAGGTTTTTTTAGGTTGTAATAGCGTTGTAATGTTTTCAAGAATACAAAGTGGATATAACCATATGTCATTGTCAATTATTACCACGAATTATTTATTTATCAATGAAATGTTTACGGGGAATTCCCGTTAATTTTTTTTCTATACTTTGCTTGTTGAAGAGTATCTTTGCACTATTTTGTCCATATTGCACTATGAAGTAGGTAATAGATGTCTAATAATAGTAAGACTAATTTCCTAAACTAGGATAAAAATATATGTAATCCAAAGACGCGATTTAATTGTGTTGTGAGGCTATCAAAGATGGTAAAAAAGTGGAATTTGTACTGAATTTATTCCTACTCAGGATATGTTAAAAAATTAAATTCCAAGTTAGAAACTAATGTTGAAGAATTGATAAACTTGGAGGATGAGTAAATTGAATCCTGTAAAAACAAAATAATAAAGTGTAAAAGTAAAAGTAAAGTAACAGCCTATACATGTCCCACTGCTGGGCAAATCCTCCTCTATACAGAGCGTATCAGGGCATAGTCCACCACGCGGCCCCTCTGCGGATTGGCGGACTTCACATATCTTCGAAATATATATACAGCGTGTCGTTACCATCGTGACAATAAATGAACACACATATAGGGGATAACTTTTTAAAGTTGTATTAAACATTTAAATTGTTTAAACATCAATATTTACAGAGTTATAAAATTTTCCAAAACAAAGAATTTTAGAACACCCTTATCTATAAAAGCGTAATGTAAAGTTCATTTTTAAAGGTCACGAAGCATATGAATGGGTTGAATGAATTCAAAAGAGACAAAACATACTGTTAGAAGGAGAGGCTTGTAATGCGACGCTGTGGCGCGAGTTGTATAGGATGTTACAAATTTTGTTTCTTTTTTATTTAATTAGTTTGTTTGAAAAATATATTTTTTTAATTATGGATTTTGTTTAACGTTAACATTTTTTTAAGATTATTGGCAAGTAGCGTTAGACGTGTGTTCATTTATTGTCGCGATGGTAACGACACGCTGTATATATTTTAAAAGTGTACTATAAGTAATTTCTTTTACAAATAATATCCTTTTCAATTTTTTGTACTATCTTTTTCATCATACCTAAATCCAATCCTGCTTTTGACATTGACGTGTTAATTTGCACTAATCTGTCATTTATTATTCAATATTCACTGCTTTTTTGCCTTGTTACTTATAAGAATAAGATAAATGTGATTTTTCTATTTTTATACAATCCATACTGCATATCGGATTCAGATTTTGCTTCGCTACGTATTGCCATTTGTCCATGCCCAAGGACTTCGATTGATTGCTTGCACGGCGACCTTAAGCTGTCACGTTGAACTATTGGATGTGCTTTAATATTTCGATTAGTTGTTAGTTTGTTTACTATTGTTAAAATAGCGACACGAATCCTGTGTATCAACTGCAACATATGTGTTAGTAAACTATTTTGTTATCCTGCCCTGGTGCTCAATACAAGAGACACAGCCACAGAAAAGCTGTTATAAACGCATTGTCGCGTTGTCAACGAATCTGCAACCCTCGAGTGTAGCAGATGTCCATGGGCGGCGGTATTCACTTAACATCAGGTGAACCGTCTGCTCGCTTGGCAACCTTTCACATAAAAAAAAATATATTATATATATACAAATAATAAGTGGATATGGCACTAGCGCGCGGAAACTGAGGCATTCAAATTACGCCAATTTGTGTAAATACATTGCAACTTTATAGACTGCTATCTCTTTCCGTATCATACGTTCTATATCATCTGTCACATTCGCTTACATAAATGTCAAATAATGTAAAGCGTAACAATTTTTAAACCCCGCACAGTATAACCTCAAAATAAAAATATTGAAAATGTAATATCTTTATTATTAGACTTTCTCCAGTTAAAATTCTTAATATAAAGTTGCTTAAGAGCGAGTAATGAACATTTTCAGATATTTTTGACCTCTAAACGCTAAAATTTTATCCCGACTAAAGTCATGTATGGGAACCTGCCATTGTCCTTTCAGATGGAAAAACACTCAGATGCGAAACAATTATCTGTGGATCTCACAAATAGTCGTCCCACAAAATGTGCAGCACGCGGAGCACGTGATAAGCCGGCACTTATAGTTAAAAACTTCATTGGCGCCGGCGCCGAGGATCGAACTCAGGTTGCTCGAGTATATTGAATTAAAGGCGAGCGCCCGGACACTGAGCTATCACGCGCTTTTTTGTATAAAAGAATTTTTAAAATCGGCTCATAAATGTCGGAGTTCTGACGTAATACATATAAAAACAATCGAATTGTAACTCCTCTTTTTATTTCGGTTAAAAAGAAGATCGAAATTATATCACATATGACATTTTCGATTAGTCTATTTCTATTAGTCTATATGGATGATGCTAAATGACTGATGTTCAAGATGTGTTCCCAAAAAAGTCTGAAAAAATGATTCTGGTATTAATTTACTACACAATCTCGTCAGTATTCATTATTTTGACACTTTAATAAACATTAAACTGTTCAGTTTTAGTCTCGTCGTCAGCTCTGTTTGAATGATTCTAATAATTTTGTCTTATGTGTTTTTATACACGTTAATGTGTATACGTTGAGAGCATCTCTAGGCATTCTGTTTAAATTTATGATTCTCGAACAACCACCAATGAATTTCTTGAGTGCAATTTAAAAATGCGTCAACGATGAAGAAAAATATCGTGAGAAATCTATTTTAGCTTATTTAAGAAATTGTGACTAAATAAAATTTAAAATATCCTCAATAGCGTGGTGGACTTTGCCTCAATACGATCCCGACAAAAGTGGGCAACAGTGGCACATATAAAGGCTGTTAATACTCTATTGTAATGTTTACAATAGAGTATATATTGCACATTAACCTAGGTCTGGAAATATTGGTGCATAAAGCGCTTATTTGATCACGGGAAGACCCAGGCTAGATCATTATTCCAGCTGCTATGTGTTAAATATTTATTTGCCACTTTATTGAGCTTACTTTCACAAACTGGCAGGGGTGCACTCCAGTTGCCAGACGCGCGGCAAGTGAGGACGTGGGCGCCGAGAAGGGCATTGCCATTCGCGCACGAGAACCTGATCTCGGTGCCAAGACGGGTGCCAAGCTCGCTGGCAACGAGGCCCCTTCTGATGGGCAGTGGTGGGCAGTGAACGTCTGTAAAAGTGACACATAGGCTTATATGTATATCTGTCTTTCTGTCTGCTACGCCTTTTTCGCCTTTTCTATATGTTACGCCTTCAGCGTATTCCACGCAGACGTAGTCGCGGGCAGCAGCTAGTTCTCATATAATAATCGTCAAGGGTATTTTGTGGTGCTGTTGTCCTTCGTAACACGATCAAAGCTTTTTAACTTTAAACATGTTTTTATGGTTTTGACGTCTAATCGATTCTGGAAACTTTAGATTCCAAACTGATATGCGTAAGAACGTTTATATATCATCTCACAACTAAATTTATATAAATTGTTGGCAATCTTCACGTATGCGAAAGCTTGTCTTTATCATTCATATTGAAGGACTGTGATTAGCACTTGTCTTAATCTATAAGTAGTTTAAATTTTGATGTATATTAGACTGTGTAACTGAGACTAAGGAAGGTACTTTGAGAGGACATTATTTTGGTTGAACGTGATAAGAATATTAAATAAGTTATTACACCCAAAAGAAGATCAATTAGAGAGCTGAGAATGGATTTATATTTATACCTTAATAAATCACAAACTCATAATATGGACTCAACTCATATACACGAAGATGTTTGGACTTGGATGAGAAGTATATTCGCTTGCTCACCTTCAACTATAATCTCGACCTGGTGGCTCTGCCTCGCTGGTGTCTCACACCTGTATATTCCAGAGTCCTCCTTCACGGCGCCCAATATGCTGAGCCGGTACTCCAACTGGCTGTCCCGTCCAGGGTCTGTTGTCCAGCCCTCCTGATATTTGCGGTCGGGGCTTGAAATAGAAAAAAAACTAACATCAAGTGCGGTACCGATTTCTAGATTTTACGCGAATATAACAGATATTAAATGAAACTAGTTTAAGGAATTCATCGCGTTTTCAATTTTGATTTTTAATTCCCGACGTTTCCAACCCTTTCCAGCGTTCATGGTCACGGGACAGACTGAGTTGTTACATGTCTCAAGATCTCAAGATTTGAAATTTTGCGTACATCGGAATTAAAATAAATAACAAAATAATTGACGGTAGCCCGGGTTAACTTTGACATCAAGACTTTATTTATAACATCTACTGACAATTTAAACTAATTGTCAATAAGTGGTATAAATAATATAATTTGTTATAAATAATGTACGACAGTAATTTCATGATTATATGAGACTTTATTCTATAATAATCCAACCAGCAACAGTTTGTGCCAGGGAATACTCACTCGGGGACAAAATGTGTGACGTTCCACTTGGGGTTGCCGAACCTCCTCATCCAGAGGCACTCCATGTGGAGCACCGTGCCAGGGTACACCAGGAGCTTGCCGTCGTTGGTTTGAGCGATGGGGCCCTGCGAGTGCCTGAACAGGATAGTGGGAGGCTTCTCCACTGGAAGGCAAAAGGTCGTTACGCTTGTTAGAGCGCCCGTAGCTTACATTTATTTATTTATGTATTTTTACACCCCAACTTAAAGCTAAACAAACGACAAACTTAATGCTTAAAAGCATTCTCTTACATTCAACCCTGGCAGTGGAGAAAATTGGACGCAGGTGCAAAACAAAGTAAGCGAAATAAATTAAAGAAAAATAAAAAATATACCAAAGATACATTCTATAGAAATATACTTTACACAAACATAAATACTATACGTATTAAATTATTAAATATATATAAATTCCAATACCTACATAAACATTATATAAAATCACATTACATTTCCTACAACACGACACAGCAGCTTAGGCTGTTGCACGAATGGGCAGGCGCAACCGGGGGAAGTACCCTTGCAGAATTCTGTTGTGAAGTGAAAATATGATACTTTCGTGTTTCGTCTGGTGAGTGAGGTAACCAGGGCTTTTTTGAGCTAAACATCAGGTGAACCGCCTGCTTGCTGGACAACTTCTTGGAACAAGAATAAAATACGGAATCAAGAAGTGCCACGGTCTCACATAGGGCCGGCCTAAACTAAAAGTGTTTTTGGCACGACTAACTGAAATAAACAAGTCTGGCATCGACACTGCTAGACTTGTTTATTTCAGTTATTTCCACAGCATCTTGTCTTACGGCATTTTGTTGTGGGGTAGTGCATCTGATATAAATTCTATATTTATTCTTCAAAAAAGAGCTGTCCGAGCAATCTATAACATCGGAGCCCGGAATACACTCAGAGACCTTTTTAAAGAGATTAATATACTCACTGTTGCGTCTCAATATATTTATTGTAATATTTTGTATGTTAAAAATAATATTAATAGTTATCTAAAGAATAGTGACAGACATAAACTAAATACTAGAAATAAGGACAAACTAACTACGCCATTGTTTCGTTTACAAAAAGTAAACAGGTCGTTCATGGGGCAAGGTGTGCGCATGTATAATAAAATCCCACAGTCGATATTAAGTCTGCCACTTCATGAATTTAAACGAAAAATTAAAAGTAAACTTATGGCTAAAGCCTATTATTCTATTGCCGAATATCTTGACGACGCCAATGTGTGGGGTTAATACTGTTGATACTCACGTAGGCTAAAACAAGACTATTGTACATGTACTATTATTTTGTAAACTGATTTTTTTTAAAAAGAGCAACTGTTGAGTTTCTTGCCGGTTTCTTCTCAACAGAAACTGCTTTCCGAACCGGTGGTAACTTACGAACGTGTTAATTTCTTGTAAAATTTTGACGTTTCATAAGAACGTTCAAGCGTCTATGTGAATAAAGATATTTTATTATTATTTTGGGGGTATTTATTTGTTTTCTCGTCTGGTTGGGTTTGGGGATAAATAATAAACACATAAATATATATTGCATCTATAAAATAAATATTATGAATAAAAATAAATATACAGATATAAATATAATATGTAATACATAAATAAATAGGACCCAACCAGACGGAAGCCCTCGGCAGGGGAGACCAAACGGCCGTGGGTTAGGGTGAGAGGGAGAGAAACCGGCGGACGATGCGGGCGGTATCGAGGAGCACCGCCTTCTGCATTTGAGCTTGGAGCGTTCCGTCCCGGAGTCCCAGTCGCCTCAGATGTTCCGAGACGCTGACTGGGATTAACCCATTCGCAGACACGACTATTGGGATAATTTCGGTCGGCACACCACCCCACATGTCGGTCACATCGTGAGCCAGGTCCAGATACTTCGTCTTCTTATCTGTTTCAGCTTTCACGAGGTTCTCGTCATATGGAATGGTAATGTCGACCAAAAATACCCGCGACTGTGCCCGGTCCATCACCACGATGTCAGGTTTGTTCGCGACAATCGTCCTGTCCGTGATGATGGGTCGGTCCCAATAGAGCCTGGCGCGGTCATTTTCGAGCACGGCCTCCGGAGAGTACTTGTAGTACGGCAGTTTCCGTTCCACGAGTCCGTATTTCAGAGCGAGCTCCTGGTGTATAATTCTGGCTACTAGGTTGTGTCTATGCAGATACTCAGAGTTAGAAAGCATGGAACAACCGGAGATAACATGCCGTAGCGACTCCCCCGGGATGGCGACAAGCTCGACAGATGTCGACGGTGCCATCCCTTAGGATGTATCTCCGATAGTTGTTCGTCTTAATAACCTGATCCTGTATCGCACAGACAAAACCTTCGGTTTCCCCAAAGAGGTCACCGAAACGTAGCCAGTTAAGGGAGGCAATGGTATCTACGAAAGGCTCGTGTAGAGCCTTGTAGAACCTCCCGTGGAGCTCTTTCTCCTTCCATACGGTCTCTCGGTCGGAAACGCTCAGTACTCCCGGGTCCTGCCATTGCTCGTTGGCTAAGGATAGAGGGGTAAGTCCTTTATCACAACTAATGACGTCCGTGTAGATTGATTCATCCGATCTCGCCAGAAAGTAGTTACGGAGGCTGCACACCTCGCGATTGTGCATGGTGAGGGCGCTTAAAAAGCCCCTCCCGCCATGCTTCCGCGGCAGGTACAGCCTCATCACTGACGATCTCGGATGATGCATTCTGTGGGACGTCATAGTTGTGCGGACTTTTCGATCCACGGCGTTGAGCTCAGTTTGAGTCCACCTGAGTATGCCAAAGGTATACATGAGGACTGGCATGACCCAGCCGTTAAATGCGCGTGCCTTGTTCACGCCTGACAAATGGCTGTTAAATACCTTTGTCAGGCGTGCAAAAAACACGTCACGAACTGACTGTTTCATGCCAGCCTCATCGATACACATGTTTTGTGACATACCCAGGTATCGGTATGTTTCAGCCTCAGAGAGGGTCCTTATGTTAACGGGCATAGACTTATCTATGCCCGTTAACATAAGGACCCTCCGTATTAGCGACCTTACCCCTTTCGACATGGAGGACCGCGCACTTATCCGTCCCAAGCTCCATTTTGATAGAATTGCTGAAATCACAAGTGACTTTAAGCAATTCCATCAAATGGGAGCGATTGGAGGCGAATAATTTGAGGTCATCCATGTAGAAAAGGTGGGTCACTTTTGTCCCTCCTCTCCGAAGCTGAAATCCTCCCCAGTAACACGCTGAGAGGATTCAGGGACAGGCAAAGCCATATTGGACTCAAACAATCGCCCTGGAAAATACCCCGTCGTATCCTTATCCGGTATTCCGCAGCCGTCATCCGCTCGCCTAGATGACAAAGGATCGTACTCCATTGCCCCATACAGTACCCGAGGAAGTCTCTTACTGTACAGTCTACTTTGTACAGTTCGAGGACCCTCTTTAGCCATGTATGAGGCACCGAGTCGAACGCCTCTCTGTAGTCTATCCAGGCGGCGGAGAAGTTCCGACGGTTGCGTTTAACCATTTTGCCAATGACCGCGTCGATGAGAAGTGGTTCCTTGGTTCCACGACCACCGCCCCGACATCCATTCTGAGCACGAGACATAATCCGATTCATATTAATATGCCGGGTGATTCTCATGCTCAGAATAGATGTCAGTGTCTTATAGATGGTGGGTAGACACGTAATGGGGCGGTACTTACTTGGGTCTGTGGTAACATGATCTTTCGGAACCAAATGAGTGACCCCAGTAGTAAAGAGGCTCGGGAGCGACCTCGATCGAGAGCCTCTTGGAACTGTCGGGCAAGCACAGCATGACACACCACGAACCCTTTCAGCCAGTAGTGATGCAGCCCGTCGAGTCCCGGACTTTTCCAGTTCGGGGCTCTACGGACTGCCTAAGATACGTCGTCGGGTGTTATGACGACGGGGTCCATGGGTGTAATGTCTGCACATTGGCTCGCCACGACTTGTGTCCAAGGGCCCTCACTGTGGTCTACGGGCTCTAACCACAGGCTGCGCCAAAAGGCGGCAGTGTCGGCCTGGTCTGGTCTTTGGCCCGTTCCACAACTCATTGGTCGCTCCAAAGATTTGTAGAACCTCTTTTGGTCACTCTGGAAGAGGCGATTCTGGCTAAACCGCGCCGTCCTCTCGGAATATCTCTGAATCCGCTTCCCCCAAGCAGCGATCTTCTGCTTCAGGTCATCTATGCGCTCCGTTAGTTTTTGCGTAATATCCGGCTGGGACAAGTTGGTGTTGGTCCCAGCGAACGCCATCCTAACGGTGCGCACAATTCTGGGCCTATTATTGCCTGACCTGAAGCTTATCAGACTGCCGATGACGGCCCTTACCTTTGCGATACGGTCCTCAATTCTTCTTCTCCATACTGGGATAGTGCTACCTAGTCTAGTAGCACGTCCAGTCTTGGGAAGTTTGGCGCCAACGATTCGGCATACTGCCAGTGCAGCGCCAAATAGAATTGAGTCCGTATCGCAAAGATCCCGGCTAGCTTCCAAATAGGTTGCCAGCATCGGGTTAAGACCTTACGACAGACCGACTCCGCTTACTCAGGGGTATGCGGAGGAGACGTGGTCGATTCTCGAGAGGCGTTTCGCGCACGTCCAGAATTGCCTCCTCCAATATGCTTCTCATCTGCTCTATATCTTGGGCGACTATTCCATCATCGCACGAATCTACAGGAGCCGGGGGGTAAAACGCGGCCTCCGCTTCCGCTTGTAACCCCGCGGGGTCCGCAGCTTGCGGGGTCGAATTTCCAGCCACTGCATTTTCGTCCGATGAGGGAACAGCCTCACGTCGAAGTCGTTCGAGTTCGGCATCATCAAATATTTTCGAACGCGTGATGTACCGAACTCGGTCTGCCAGGTTTTGCTCGGTGACGGTTACAGACGGCTCCAGCTCAGCAAAAAAAGCGATGCATCCTTGCCCGATACGCAAACCCTCCAGTTTCACTCCCTTTCGCCCTAAGATACGCCCGCATTGCGTTCCTGTTCATCTCTGTCGTCCAGCGCAAGCGGCGTATTCCACCAGCGGCGGGTGCCGATTGCTGGATCCGAGAGGACCCTGCCGACACCAAGCCAACTGGTGGGGATGATGGATGCGAGGTATTGCTAGGTGATCGTGCAGTACCCCGCGCTCGGCTGGCGTCCCGCATGCTGCCACGTCCAGCGCCAGCTCCAGACGCGCCCTGGCGGCCCCCAGGTAGCGGCCCTATGCGCATTCTTCGGGAGTCCATCATCCATTATATTTTTAGGGCGTCATTTAACGGAAGACGCCCCCAGACCGGCACCGTTTTCAATAGTGTGGCCATACGCACAGACGGGCCTATGCACCCTCATTTTTGTCGAGGCACGGTGCAAACACCTCTTGGCAAGGCGCTGACTGATTGCGCCGACGTATTATTATTATTATTATTATTATTTGGGTTCCAACCAGTCAATAAGGTAAAATAATTGGCCTATTCGGATTCAACGTGATGGCATTGCGGCCGCAACATGCCTGATGCTGTGAGTACCTATGGACACATAGCCTTCCCTTTGCATATGGTGAATCGCTCGCTCGTGATATAAGAAATGTAACTAAAACTAGTTTTAAGCAGTTGTCGTCTAGTCGTCTAGTGGTTGGAGTGTTGCTCTTACGATAAAAGGTGTAAAAACACATGAGACGGAAAATGTACCCTTTTTAGGGTTTCGTACCCAAAGGGTAAAATGGGAACCTTACTAAGACTTCACTGTCTGTCTGTCTGTTTACCAGGCTGTATCTCATGAACCGCGATAGTCAGGCAGTTGAAATTTTCACAAACGATGTAGTATTTCTGTTGCCGCAATAAGAACAAATCTTTCAGAACTAAAAAAAACAGAATAAATAAGTATATAAGTGGGGCTTCCATACAACAGACGTGATTTTTTTGCCGTTACGAGTCCGACCGGCCGGTTTTTTTTTAGATTTCTTATGTGCAATCGCTGTCTCATATCCGGTGTCAGGTTTTGCAAATGGGACTTGGGAGCATCTGTTTATTCTGTTACGACTTAAAGCTGAAAACGTGGCGATGCCCGAAGATTAAATTTAACTTACTGGCGTAATCATTCTCTTGGTTCAGTCCGAAGCAAGTAGGTTTGACGCCGTCCCACGTCCCGCCGATGCATTTGCGTGACTGCGAGCCCGTCATAGCATACTTGCCTATGTCACTGCACCTGAAATAGAGAAACAAATATTCATTTAAAAGATTCACTTTGGTTGCTAATATTTGTGTTGTTGTCTATCAGATTATTATATATATCAGTTTTAAATCCAGGGCAACCTGTTGAAAAAGTGCGTCCTTCGTTAGTTCGAATTCCATCAAATAAATATCAATTGACTTTCTGCTTTGCTACCGCACTAAATTTAATTAATTACTATCTTAATATTTGTAATTTAAATAACGACTCCTTTTAAGGAGTATCATAACGGTCAACCATATCTTATAAATAAACGGACAGAAACGATTTCTTGCGATCCGTTACGTTCAATATAACATTTGAAGTACCTGGAAATTATTAAGGTACCCGGGGGGAAATCAACGGTTTCCGTGATTTCCAGATCATTGAAGAATGATACTACATGTGGTTCCTCATTCCTGAATGTGCAGCTGTTGTTATTCAGCAGTTCTTCGCTCTGTGCTTCCAATTCCTCTGCAATACCATTATTGTATTTATCTATAATATAACGATCAAGCCACAAAATAAGTTAATGAAAAAATTTAAACGTAAAAAAACCACAGGTAATTAAAAAGATATAATTTTCAAACAAATGTTGGCAACATTAAAAGAAATGTCATAAAATAAATTAATAAAGTAAAAGTGATAAAATAAGTAATTACATCAGTGTTATTGTTGTGCAAAGTGAAACTACGGTGATTTGGTAAAAGTATTTATATTTCTACCTTCTTAGCTCGATAAAACAAAGTATAGCTAACACAAACTACTTAATTAAATTAAAAAGAAACAAAATTTGTAACATCCTATACAACTGTAAATGACGGATTCATATTCAGAGACTTTTTCATTCATTCATTGCCACAACGCATGTCGCATTACAAGTGTCTCCTTCTAACAGTATGTTATCTCTTTTAAATTCATTCAACCAATTCATACGCTTTGTGAAGTTTACAAATGAATTTTACGTTACCGATTCGAACGTATGTACGGATGCTATAAATTATTTATTTTGTAAAATTTATAACTCTGTAAATATTGATGTTTAAAGAAAAATCAATGTTTAGTACAAGTTTTATAAGTTATACTCTACACGTGTGTTGATTTATGATGGCGGTAGTCGCGCCACATTGTATACACAAAGTTATCTAGTCCAAAACTAATATGGGTACTAGGTATATGATAAAAATATTTAAACACTTATACTATTTGTATAGCTATCTATAATATGTATAACTTTACTTTTGTAAAAATATACATATTATAGATAGCTATACAATAAACACCCGATACATACCCGAAAAACACTATGTTCATCACATACTTTTTCCAGTAGTTGGGATCGGTCAACTGTTGACTACGCCGATCGGAATGTCATAATTGTTTTTTAATTAAATAAATAAGCTACTAATGATAATTTCTTATATTTACGCGATTACACATTATAAATTAAAGTAATTTTTACAACTGTCTGGTGTCTGTCCCGTGACCATGAACGCTGTTGAGGGTTCGAAACTTCGGGAATTAAAATTAAAAATAAACGCCATAAATCCGTAAAAATAAGTTTCATTTATAATGTGTAATTGTGTAAATACAAGAAATAGCCATATACCATGGTAACTACTCAAAGATATTTTAAGATATGCAAATTTAACAAACATCGACATTTCTCGCTTTTAATTCAAAATACTCGAGCAACCTGAGTTCAATCCCCGGTGCCGGCACCAATGAAATTGTTTATTTTAAATGCTGAATTATCACTCGCTCAGCGTTGAGTTAAACATCGCGAGGAAACCTGCACATTTTCTAACTAATAGTTTTTTTTGAAGATACATATGTGTAGTCTGCCAGTCCGCAGTGGGCTCGTATCCTTTATAAGTTAGTAATGAATAAAATTGGTTAAATTTGAATACTATAATTCTAATATTAAATACACATGTAATAGGGCACTCACCGCAATTAAAACTCTTGCCAACCCAATCGCCGTGCTCGCAGATCAGTTTCCAAGTGGTTTTCTCGCCCATAATAGAGGCTATACATCTAAAGGTAATTTCTGTGCCATGAGGGTAGCCCTCCATGCCCAGAGATCCGTCAACCTCGGCGCCGTCACGATAAACTAACGTTCCTTGCACCCTATGGACCATTTGAAGGGATTTATAAAAAAAACAGTTCATAAATCCGTTCTGAATATCAAACTATTATTTGCCATCATCAGATGTGTAAAATTGAAACTTCCTATATTACAGATAAAGGAATGTTCGCCATGGGAAATGTTGCATGTTCCCATGAGATCATCACGACATGCACTAGACACGCAGGAATTTTGCAAAAGGTAGCAAATAAACTCAAGCCCGGCCAAGACAAAAATCAAAAAGCCAAATGTACAGCCACCAACACAGCTGCTTACAGACGTTTGTATATAATCTTTGTAAATTTTCGTTAAACATGTAAAATACTTTAACAGTTTAACTAAGCCCTGCTATCTGAGGATTTCTAAAGATCTTTACAATAATCATGATTACGATAAAACTGAAGAACATAATGCAGAGATACTGACAGTAGTTCGATGGAATGAAAGTTCTGATAAAGTTATCATCATGTTGTGATGACTGCTGGTTGGGAATGTAAACGGTGATGGTGAATATGTGGCTACCGATGATGATCGGAAATATGAAGAACAAGTTAAGTAAAAGTCCGAACCTAGAAGGCTCTCACCAGGGCTTGGCATCCCTGAACGCCTGGGTTCCCTTCAGTCTTTCCAGCCAGCAAATAAGAAACGGAGACTCTTTGCAAAAATATTATTTCTTGTCGTTGTCCATCCCATTTTGTATTGGATGTTGTCAAGAAGCAAAATGTACGGAACATATGAGCAACTGTATAAATATATAGATAGATATAGGTACAGTTTGCTCCTTGACCAATTCTGGTAATAAGTAAAGCAAACAATAGCGTAAGGTTACAAAAATAATGCGTCCAAAGCGTGACATCCATTAAATATTGCTCGCGATGGCACTTTTAGGATAGTATTGTTAGATAATGTTTTAATATTGATTGGTTAAGATTCCCAATAAATGATTATTGCATTTATTGGGAATCTTAGCAAGTCAATAAATTGTTACCATATATTTGATAGTCTGATTCAACCATCAAACATGAATGCTCAATATTGTCGACAGACAAAGAAAAAAGATGGGATGTCGATAGAACAAATAAATAAAACAAAAATAATTCACACCAAAGCTACAATGAAAGCACAATTATAGTTGCGGGAAATGGATTAGTGTTTTAATTAAACCTTATCTGCCCAACGATTTCATATTAAAAGTCTACTTAACAGGTTCCACATTTCTAAAAAGGCAAAGGCAGAGAAAATTTAATAGTAACGTCACATTTTGCCATTTCTGTTATTTGCTTTGTTAGTTGTTCCTTATCTGATTATATATAAATTGGAAAATTCTTTACCTAGCCGGTGGTCCGCATTCTAAGACTGGTTTTCCGTGCAGATCTGGTTCTAGTTGTGAAATATCTTCTCGCACGATGTCGGAGCCACTTTGATACTCTGACGTGGGCCTTGGTCGAGTTAAATTTGCTGCAAGTAGCAAATGCGAGCCTTCTATCATTATGGTGCATTGTACAATCGTTGTTTGTTCAGAATTGAAATCATAATATAGAATTCGTTCTGACGGTGAGAATTACACCTCGGAAAGATTATTTACTCTTGTTCTACAGCCACTTATATTTCTGATGGAAAGGCAATCTCGCCAGCAAAATGATGCTTCGAGAGCGTGAATAGTAGACGACAAAAGTTGTGCCGTTTAATTATTCAATGATGTAACATTGTGGTAGGAATTGATAAACCAATAGCAGTTTTAGTAAATGTTTGCACTCATATTTTTTGATAAAATTATAAAGCACAATTATACACAATTTAAAGCACAGCAACAGGATATATTGTAAAGAAATTACACTTCCGTTGCTGACTTCATTCGGTGAAAATTTAGAAGAACTTTTATAACAACGGTTTTTTTTTTTCGCTTAAAATAACTTATCTTGCTATATGGTGTATTCCTCTATTATGGCAATTAGTGACAACGTCAAAAGGTAGTTTATGTATTCTCAAGGTAGTCTATTAACATTATTCTGGTTTACCACGGATTGTAACACTCACCTAGAGGCCTACAGAAATCGTGGACCGTGGGTTGTAGCCTACCCAAGTGGCAATTCAAAGTTGCTGGTGGTGATCTTCCAGGTTCACAGGATATATCCACCGACGAAGCGTGTGCCACTGTCAGACCAGCTCTGTAGCCGGCTTCGTAAGTGGCACCGTGCAGCAGAGGTAACTCACAGGGAGCTTGGATAAAATACAATTAGAAGATTGATGGAGTTATGTTCAACGGATATTTATTTGAGCAAATGTACACTGGCTCTCACCACTTACCTGCAACGCATTCTGGCATGCTGGTGACTGCCCACTCGCCTAACCAGCATCGGAGATTGGTTGGTCCTTGCACGTTGTAGCTGGAATTATAAAGAAGAAAAAAACTTGAAGAGGAGTACAGGAAGAGATAAAGGTACATAAAACAGTGTTAAGTTAAACCAACATAAGATGATCTATAGATTAGAATAATCTATATAGAACATGAAGTTCACCTACCCGTATTCACAGGAAAAGTGAACTACTTGGCCATTTGGAACTGGATCTGTCTCGTTCAGCTCTTTATCTTCTCCGTGATTGAGGCCCAGATTTATCTGCCCCGTAGACTGACTACCGTCTGGTGCCATAGTGTAAATGCCATATTCGGTAGTTGGCACATGGCACGGAACTGAAAGACCATATAGTTATATATGTATATTTAACTTCGGGGCACAGAATATAGACTCGTGATTTTAATAAAATATCAACTATCTAAACTTGTAAAACTTGTAGAAAATTTCATATTCGGCATTCGCGGCCCGACGCTCTAGCCACTAAGCTAAACGGCTGACTGCCACACCGATGAAAAATCTTAACGTTTTTTATCTACATTGTTTTTTAATGCGAAAAAACAATGCTTCCAGCATACAAACAATTTCGAATATCGTTTTACAACGATAGATGTCGCCATTGCTTTTTAGAAATTTAAAGTTTTTTTATAGTGCTAATCTCTTCACTTAACTTGTGTAGGTTAACTGTTAACTGTATGGTAGGAGTATGAAGCGGTAATAATAAGAATTTTAAAGCCTCATTAAAAAGGAAAGCTTGGAAACTTTCCTTTTTTAATGCTGTGCTTTAATTTGTTTGTATTAGAATTTGAGGACGTGTGAGAATAAACGACTAATTGCAAACCACGCAACGTATAAAATGTATCTTACGGATTTCACATTTAGGTTTCTCGGGTTTCCATCTTCCCCGTACGCATTTTGCGGTGGCGTTTGCATCCAAATTTAATCCATAACCTTTCCCGCAAGCTACTCTAACAATGGTCCCTGAAAATATATTAAAAACATTTGAAATCAAAAATACTCTGGCACATTTTGGTAGGCATTAATGATATACAAATTAGTGTTATATTTTACTAGTCTAGTGTAGAAGTGATCGCATAGTTATTTTAGTGTCTCTTATTTCACTAACACGGTTTCTTTTGCTTTATCATAACATTCGTTTCCGTATTTTAACTTGATTATTTTTGTACAGGTGGTGTCATTTATCAGCACTGTAGTCCCGGGCTCAAAGAATAGGTATCTCCTGCCTGTCGTAAAAGGCGACTCAAAGGGGGCGCGGATTGGCAGCAGCTCGAAGCGGCCTCGAGATGCTGCAAGGTAGCGAGGGAATTCGGGAAGATTTTATCTTCTCCGAGGCGTGCTCACGTCCAGTACCGAGGGACACCGGTGCGTTCCATAGGAGATCCCGGGGTCCCTCCAAACGTATAGAACGTGGCAACCGAGCAGGTTTTATTGGGTAAGAACCCCACATTACCCTGTCACATAATGACAGGGTATCTTTCGAAGATTTCCCCCCCGATACCAAAAAAAGGTGGTGTCATTTATAAGTGAAATATCAGTAAACAAAAGTTGAATTACCAGAACTAAACGTGTTGTTAGGATCACGTCCGTACTTTACGATTTCAATGTTGATGTACGGCTCGCTTTCGATTGGTTCACAGGGGCTTTTCGGTCGCCCCTTCTTCCCCCGCTCTCCGTTCTCCGTTTTATTACCTTCAGTTCCGTTTTTATTATCAGCGCTAGACTCGCCTTCAGTTAAGTTTTCCGACTGTGAACTAGTCGTGCCCTTGTTCTCTCGACCACTGTATAATGTATGTTTTAGATTTGGCTTTATTTTAAGAGAATTAGCTTGGAATTGTGACACATTAACTTGGATTTATCTTATCAAAACCTTATACGAAACAATATTCTTATGAAACTATTCAAAAGTTACTCTAGCCATTTCTAATAAGACTTTACTTTTATTTTCCAGAAAAATTCAGTAAACTGGAAGTTTAAATTTTTTTATAAAATTAAACAGAAAACTAAATATATGTATATTATACAAATAAAGATGATTACAGCAAAAAAAAATACAAAAATAACTTACGTCTTTGGAACACTTGCTGTGGTTTGATTCAATCTGTCCGTTTTTCTGCTAGTTCTCTTATCACGTTTGTCTAACATATTATTAACGTCCGTTGAATTAGTTCTACTGTACTGTAACGGTATTACTGCAATTTCCTTATCAAAAACCTCATTAGATGTTTCATTTCGAGATTTCAGTGGTTCTACTTTCAAAATGTCTAATACTTCGTGTAAAATTCCCGAAGTTTTGGCTATTGGACTTATAGTATACATTTCAGTATCCATTTCTTCGGTATTGATATAACGTTTCAGTCTCGGTTTGGTTCCACTTCTTTCCGTTGTCCTTTCCACAATTCCAGTTTCAGCGCTTTGCAGGTCTACATCTAATTCTTTTTTATTATCAACTGTGCTATTTAGATTAGAAAACCTTTTATGTCGCTTATCGATATACCTTTCAAAGTATTGATGTTTTAACGCGCTAATACCGTCAGCGATTTCATTTTTAGAAGCCAACTCATGATCGGGGAACAGTCCTCCTTTTAGGATTGTGATGTGAGATGGAGAATCATTTTCGAAGTCATCAGATTCTTCATATTCGGAAACATCGTCGTGGTGTACTATATCTTCTTCTTCTGGTTCATATACAGGTTGATATGAATAAAGCCTGTGACCGATAGGTTCCCCGTGTACATTGTAGACAGTATACACAGCTGTTGGGAAATTTTCACCACCGTTTTCAACGTCAGATCCTACCATTTCATCCTCCTCTTCCAAATCAAGATCGAATTTCTTCATAAGTTTGAAATTGGCATGCCTCAATGTTGGTTTCCGAGTATCGTGGTTATATTTGTCATAAAGCTGGTTCAAATATTCCTGGTTGGGCTCGGATTGTCTACGAAGACTGTTGTAGTATTGACGGAGATAGGCGGACCTTCTATGGCGGATTTCAGGCTCCGGAATTGACCTTCGTCTTCGGCTCCATCTTATCCGCGGGTGTTGGTAAAGTGTGCATCTATAAGCAAAGGTATAAGTGTGAACTTAATACTGAACTTAAAATGTTATTATAAAATTCTGTAAAAGCTGCGTACTTTGGTAGCTCCCTCGGACTCCAATGGCCTCCTATACATGTGGCACCCGGTGGGCCTTCTGACAACACATATCCCTTTTCACATTCGTACATGATTTGCTTATTGTTTACAACCTAAAATTAAATTGAAGATGAGGTTTCGGGATACTGAATCAAAACTCCAAATTATACCACCTACCTTCTTGACATACGGCCTATAATCGTATAATCCCATGTTGCCCACAAGCAGTACTTTTCCATTTTCTATGTATCCAGGAAATGGGCAGAAAACTGAAATAGATAAAATTTATATAAGTACATCATTTTGTTCTGTTTTTGCATACCTACTCGTAACTGTCCGGAACCTCGACTCATAAACTTAAGTCAGTTTAAATTTTATTGGTAACTCTAGTTTTTGACGTTCCTAGCTCATGTGTGTGTACGGTATTTGCAAAAAAAATCAATTTGATTTAAGCGTTAATATAAAGCTTATTTAAGTTGTTAGGGTTAAAAACATTACGGCGTATGGATGGTTGCTATCACTTACAGCAATTCATAACTTAACCCTCTTTTTTATTTACTCTATTTATTGTCTAGCTGCGTGTCATTCATCAGTCAGTCGCTTATCTTCACTACATAGTATAAAACGAAGTCGTCCTGCTGTCTTTCTGTCCCTATGTATGCTTAGATCTTTGAAACTACGCAACGGATCTTGATGCGGATTTTTTACTAGACAGAGTGATTCAAGAGGAAGGTTTATATGTATAACATATTGCACCCGTGCGAAGCCGGGGCGGGTCGCTAGTTATATATATTATTCTTCTGTACGTGTGTATGTCACTAAACTTCCCCTAAACGGCTGGACCGATTTTAATGACATTTTTTGTGTGTCTTCAGGTCCACTTGAGAATGGTTTAGATTGACAATTCGGTCGACTACATTTTTTAAATTTTTTAAAGATGTTGTCGGATTTAAGTCTTGTGTACGGGACGTCTGTCGAGTCCGCTAGTATATTATATAGTTCTATTTACCTAAGTTTGAGCTGTAAGAGACGGGTTGAAAAAATTAGTTCTCACTTCCTTGGGCGGCAAAGGAAAATGTTTTGTTTATGAAATCATCATAGTCATATGAATTGAAATGAAATTCCAACCGAAGAATCTTTATTCTTCGGTTGGAATTCAAATTCCGCTACATGGCGCAATGTGTCCTAATACCTTATGTAGTAAAGCTTTGCTAAGCACTTGCTTTACTTTACGTATATTCATAGGCAGTTTCTTTACTATTTAGATGTACCATACCTTCCTCGCATCGTGGATTCTCGCCACTCCAGTTACCGAAGGAACAAACCACAATTGGATTTCCTTTCAGCTCGAATCCATCCTTACAACGGAATCTCGCCTTCATGCCGTGCTCTGTCTTTGGCGCTATCACCATTCCATTTCTTGGGTTTTTCGGCATCTTTTTGCATCTGAAATTGTGATAATTAGGAACTAAGAATATTCAGTAAAGTTACAAACGTGTGTAAGGTTTTGGACGTTGTATACTTTTGTACATTTGTAAGCGATATATATTTCATCGTTTCCACGGCTTCTACATCGCTATCAATATTTGTGTGATTAAGAGGCGAAGCGATTCACGTAAGCATGTGTAGCTCATTTATTACAGTAGTTTAGGGAGGGGCAAAGGAGCAGACGGTTCACCTGATGTAGAGCTCTCGCGCTGTGGACTGCGATCGGCATCAGTAATCACTAACCATCAGATATTACCCTCATTACCAATGGCAAAGGTTATGTTGGAGCAAAGACCCCGGTCATTTACAATTTAGTTGTTTCTTACCGAGCTGGTTGACATCGCGGTATTTGAGTCCAGGTGCCGTTGTTACAATTAACCGCGACGTTGTTGGATGGAAACTCGTAGTTTTTCTCACAGTCCACTATTATCACCTCACCTGGAAATCGTTCAATAGTAATATCTCACTCTCTCTTTAATATAAGAGCTAGGCTCTTGTCGGTGCAGCATCTCAATAGTTCAGCTGTGTAACATCCCCTGTCCTTCCCTGTTCAAAGACCTTTCCTTAACCTTTATCTGTCTATTCGATGATAAGTTAATTGATCACCAAATTTCTTTAACAAGAATGCAAACCAGACTATTTGCAATATGCTATAAGCAGCGAAAAGCAAAAGTCTAGTATTCTTAACGGGAAGTAGATTTACTTGAACTAATTATAATATAAAGAATGACGCACCATGCTGTACCATGGTCGAGCTTCCAACTATCTGCGTGAATTCCTGAGTCTTGTTATCTCCCGTCTTATTCTCCACTCTGACCACCCTTCCTTGGGATACGTGGGGGACTACACACGGAGCTAGAAAAGAAACACACAAAGAGGTTAACATAATTCTTTATATATTTATTATTATTTATTTAATCTTTATGCACAAACATTTATGTACAAAGGTGGATTTAATGCCATCAGCATTATCTCCCAGTCAACCTTGGGGTGGTCCAGAAAAGGTTTTCGTAATGGACAAATTCGTGGTATAAAATGAATCAATACTAAAATCTTTTTATGAATACCGTAATTAAGAAGCTTACCCAAGCATTTAGGCAAAGGGTGGCTCCACGTGCCGTCGCTCTGGCATATAGCCGATCCATTGCCTTCCATCCTCATTCCATCCTGGCAACGGAATATTATAGAAGCGCCGAGGCCGGTGCCCGAAGAGATGTTCTCCAGCCATCCGTTCCACAGTTGACCCGGGTGACCGCAATTGATTTCTTGAAAAAAAGTCGTAGAAGCGAGTGGCAATTGAGAAAATCGTCACAGTTTTGGTAAGCAATAAAACTGATACGGTGAACATGAATGCCTTTATTGTATCAGAGGAAATTCTTCAAAAGATACACTATCACTTGGGAAAATATTCTGCAATCTTCAGACAAAAACCTTCGACCCGTTTTAAAATTTATTGTTTCCTTAACCCATAACCTATGTTTGTTAGCGCTTGTTTAAGTTAAATTAATATTATAAAAAGAGGGAGAAGAAAGGGATAAGAATATAAGATTTAAGAGCATCATAGGACTCGGCTATTGAATAGCAAATCAATCAAATAGTTGAATTGATTCAAAATTTGGTTTTATTAAAACAGTTTTAATATGGTGGACCAACAGGGCAGCTTCTACTGTTGCTGAAATGGGCTGACTCGATCACGGAAGATTGCTAAAACTGTTGTGAGGCAAAAGGATCAGACATTATAAACCTTTGTCTTTGGTTGGTGAATGAAGCCCTACTCATTTAAATAATGGCAAACCATTTGACCGATGAGCTGTGGTGGTGAATTCGCTTGCTGATTATACATTTTCTTAAAACGAAATCTTCAGGTTATGCCAAAACTCACTTACCTTTGCACATAGGCTGCGCCCCAGACCACTTTTTGTCAGCGCCGCAACGCCTGGTCGCATCGCCTACCAGCCTATAGCCGTACTTGCACTCATACGACACCACCGAGTTGTAAGCGCAGGACGTGTACACCGCCTTTCCGTGGCGGGGGGCTTCCGGCGGTGGGCATTGCACCTGCGTGACCACTAGATGGCGACACACGTCGCTTTAACGTGACTCTAACTGGTTCAAGGGGAAGTCAACAAGCGGAGTTGTGTCTGATTTAAAGTCGTTGAATTTTAATACGTAAATAGGTTACATTAATTATTTGGAATATACAATAATTTTCGTTTGATTCGTTTGGTCAAGAGCGGCATGCATAACAGCAATACATATAAGAGGCATGCAGAGTAAATGAAACAATAATATATCTTTTACCTTTATTTGCTACAGCATAGTACAATGTAGGTTTAAGAAGTCTTTACAACAAATCGTTGCGCGCTCAACATCGAAGCTTCAACTACTTTATTAATAATAATCGATCTAAGTACATGTAGCTACAATTTCAGCCTATAGGCAGTTAAAGGTAGTTTTAACATTATCAAAATTTACCATGGCCATAGAGAATTTTGATTTCCAAGAAATTCACAGGGGTCGCAACACTAATTGTAATAGAATTCCAATAGAACAACAACTCTATAGATTAACAAGTTTAAAACACACTACGTAACGTAATGATTGATTCAAACTGTCCCCTTCTCTCCTCCTTCTGTATAGCAGCAGGAAAGGAGAAAAAAGATGTTTAAAATTTCATTATTTATAAATGATCTTTGAATTGGATATCCCACTTGATATTGGAAAACTCACTTTTGTTAACCAAAATTGTTGGAAAACAAAAGAAACATTCATTTGGAAGGTATATATCAAAGTTAAATCAGAAACTGTCGTTAGAGTTAATTAATCCGTTAATATAAAAGGTGATACAGTCAATTTAAAACTCACAGACGTATTTGATCTTATTGTTAACAGTTCGTGAGGAAAAATGAGGCATTCCAATTGAGTGGGAGATCCGAAGGACTGATTGCATCATGACAATGATATTGCTCTGAATGATAGCCATGATAATTTATAAAATATCAAGCGTCATGCCAACTATCCACCTTCGGAACGTGTAGACATCGATTCCACGATAACTTGAAAACCATGCAACATTCCAAAAATTAATCAACGACACCGAAATCGGCAACTACATTGTCACGAAGCAACGCCAGAAGAATGTAATAATAAAACTTTCAACGATGAGTCTGCGATTAAAAGAAAAAAAGAATTCATTGTAAATATAACTTCTCGTAAGATTTAAAGTTTTTTATAGTGCTAATCTGCACTTAAGATAAAACATTAAAATTTGTAGAAAAAGTACGAAAAGATTGTCGCCGCTGTGGGAATCGAACCCACGTCTTCGGCAGTCGCGGCCTGACGCTCTAGCCACTAAGCTAAACGGCTGATTTCCACACCGATGAAAATCTTAACGTCTTTTATCTACATTGTTATTTTAGCATTTGTTATTTTTTCTACAAGTTTTAATGTTTAATCTTAAATGCAAAGATTAACACTACAAAAACTTTAAATTTCTAAAAAGCAATGGCGACATCTCTCGTTCGAATTATCGTTGTAAAACGATATTCGAAATTGTTTGTATGCTGGAAAGGATATAACAATAGATGCGCCAAGCATTGCTTCAAATGCTAAAATAACAATGTAGATAAAAGACGTTCAAAAGACGGCAATCAGCCGTTTAGCTCAGTGGCTAGAGCGTCAGGCCGCGACTGCCGAAGACGTGGGTTCGATTCCCACAGCAGCGACAATCTTTTCGAAATTTTTCTACAAGTTTTAATTCTCGTAACATTATTACTACTACTTACTGTTAATGTTTTACTAATATTACACAGTTCTGTACACAGTATTATGGTATAATCTGTCCAATTTTGAAGAATTTGTGATTTAACTACTTTTAAATAGTGCCATCATTGTCACCATGTTTTATTATTTGAACGTTTGATGTTTAAATGTATCATTTTATAGTACTTAAATGAAAATATTTAACTGATTTTATCGCATTTAACCCCGAATAATATTCCCGTAAAAACAAGAAATCAGTATGTTATCTTATCCTTTAAACGAGCAATTCTTGTATATATATATATAATCGGAATCTCGGAAACTGCTCCAGCGATTTTCATGAAATTTAGTATGTGCGTAGATTCGGGGGCGAAAAATCGATCTAGCTAGGTTTCGTTTTTAGAAAATGTCCTTTTATCCCTGTTTTCAGGGAATGAAAAATATAATTCGATTATGTCGGTAAATTTCGCCGCAAGAGAAAATGTCATAATAGCTCGGCCGGTAATCTGGCGGCCCCAAAACAGACGGCCGTGGTTCGCGTCACGATCATTTACACATTAATTTTTTACTTTTTCATCGATTCCAGATCATTGCTTTCTTTATTTTTAATTTTTTGTCGATTTGTTATTTTGTTATTTTTTTCCCTTTTTTTTAAAGTTCTTTCTTTTGTGAAAAACATCAGTTCATATTTTCTTATTATTACGTCGGTAAGATCGAAAAATATTATGCATATTTCATTACTCAGTAATTTGTATCTAAATGTAATTTCCAAAATACACGATTACCAAAAAAAAAAACAAACCGAGCAAAGCTCGGTCCTCCGGGTACTAGTAGCTTTAAACGAAGTTTCGACCCTAGATTGGTAGCATTTGTCTCGTTAATTATTTCAGAATTCTCATAACTACCCCATACTATTACTAGCATTGCATGTTTTCAATCAGACTCATCATTGAAATAGTGAAGAATACTGTTTCGGAAATATACTTACGGACACATGTTGGCAGTTCTTTGGGTGCCCAGGCGCCGTCCGCTTGGCAGTAGCGTTCGGCCTTGCCGACGAGCTCGAACCCTTGACCGCACTGCACTACGGCGCGGCAGCCGAAGGTGTGGCAGTCCGCGGTCACCCAGCCGTGGGGCACATCGCCGGGCTCGCCACAGGAGCGAGCTGCAATTTAAGAAAGTACATAAACGGAGTCACTTTTTGAAGTCAAGGGTCAAGGGTCTTTCCCATCATTCATTCTCGTAAAAATCAAAAAACAAAATCGTTTATTCATCGACATAAGAAACATAACATTTCATCTATCTATAGTCATATTTTTTTTTATATCTACCACCGATCTACCGTTTCGTAATGCGATCTCTCAATCTTAATCAGAACAATTAATTGAACATTTATTTTTATTTGGGTCTTTCTACATTATTTGTAACTACATATTAACACAAAGTATCCCAAACTGCTAAGCCACTCAGATGTCCTAGTCTTTAAAATGTTTAACCCTCAATGCCAGCCATATTTTGAAAACTAAAAATCATTAAAATTTCAGAGTGATAGTTTATTGTAAGTGCAAAAAAAAAGCAAACATTAGCAATTAAAAGTATAAAAATTTAAATTTAAAATCCAAATTTAGCTAGAATGTTATATGGACTATAGATAACTCTTTACCGGAACTTTTTAGTTTTCTTTTAACACTTTGTATTTCTAAATGAAACTATGTTTACAAATTTATCGCGTTTATTTTTTTTAATTCCCGATCTTTCGAACCCTTTACATCGTTCATGGTCACGGGACAGATAAAATAAATTATTACACTTTGTATTGATAATAACTTCTCAAACTATGGTACTTACGCTCGCAGCTGATGTCGGGGCCGTACCACGAAGCTTGGCCGTCTATAGCCAGGCACTTGGCCCTCGGGAAGCCGTTGGTTACGTAGCCAGTGTGACAGTTGTACTGGACGGTGGCGTCCAGGTCGAAGGTGGCCTGCTCTGGGAGCGCCGAGTGACGAGCGTGCTCGATTGTCGGTGGTTGAAGACAGTAGACTGGAATGTATGGTTTTCAACAAATACAGCATAGATGACATATGTATAATAGCAGTGATAACAGTACCCGGTGCCCACACCATTGAAATTATTAATTGGACCACAGAAATACCCGCTGTACGGAAAAGGCCTTAACCAACAGTGGGACATTATGTAGGTTGTAACAACACAGATGTAATTTCCACCTACTCTGTATAAGACGGCGTTTGTTTATCAGTTCTCAATACCGGGATCCTAAATTGTCTTAATTTGTTTTCATGATTCAATAGTTAGTTTATGCAGAATAAAAAACTATCTGAATTTCGTTATTTGTTATGTTCATGTTAGCAATAGGACTATTACATATAACAATTACAAATCATACTGTAAATTCAAAGAGCTTTTTTGCTTCTCAAAGTTTTAATGTTAAGTTCATTCAGTGGTGATTTCCAGTATTGGGATAATAAGTTCTATAGATACCACTAAGAAAAAACTACCTTAATTTTTTTCTTAATTCCTATCAAATTTCCATTAAAAACTTTTGAAACAAGTTAATTTAATTTTAGCACTTACTGTTTTATTTCAGCACTTAATATTTCCATATTAGCACTTACTGTTTTCCTTACAAGCTGGTGGCTGCCCAGCCCATTTACCATCAGCTTGGCAGCTCCTGCTCTGGAGACCCACCACGTGGTATCCGTGGGGGCAGGAGTATGTCGCTCTGGAATGGTATCAAGCAATACAACTTTCAAGAGAAGCAGCTATACATAAATAGGATCTAGGATCGTAATGAACATCGACCACTAGATTGGCGTAGTGGAAAACGAACCTGTTGCTTGCTAGAGGGTGTGGGTTCGATCCCGATTTTATGTGAACAGTTGATAAGCGAATAGGCAATTCAGTTGATGTTAAGTGATTTCCTCCACCCTTGGACATCTGCAACACTTGAGGGCTTATAGATACGTTGATAACCTTTTAAAAACTGCCCAGGTACCTCACCCAGCAGACGAAACGCGAAAGTATAATACTTTCACTACACGCTGGTCTTGTGAGGCCATGGTACTTCGCTGGATGAAGCTGCCCATTCGTGTAAGAGTAGAAACTACTGCTGGAATATTCCGGCCTCCACGACAATTTTTCTGTTTTATATTTTTTGGGTTCCGTACCCAAAGGGTAAAACGGTCTGTCCGTCTGTCACCAAACTGTATCTCATGAACCGTGATAGTTAGTCAGTTGAAATTTTCACAGAGGATGTATTTCTGTTGCCCCTATGACAGCAAATACTAAAAAAAACAAAAAAATATAAATAAGTGGGGCTCCCTTACACTGGACATGATTTTTTTCCGTTCTAATAGATATTGGTAGAACCATTCGTGTGCGAATCCGACTCGCACTTGGCCGGTTTCTTATATTAAACGAGCAGGTGCTTCATGGGAACAGTAAGTGATTACTATTACCTACCACATCTTACGGGCGGTAGATGCATTGCCAATAATTAATAAAACCGTTTAAAAACTTTTAAGTGAAACGGTTTTATTTTATGTTTTTTTTTGTTACATTTTTTTTGTTAATATTGTATTGTCATCTAAATTAAATGTGTGTACCAAATTTCAGATCAATCTGACAACGGCAAGGTGCTTAAATTTAAATTTCTAATTTTGACCCAAACAAACAAATTCCGTACGGGTCGAGCTAAATGAAACCGTTTAAAAACAGATGCATTGCCAATCATTAAAAACGTGCGCTCCGGTTACCTCACTCACCAAACAAAACGCGAATGTGTAATACTTCCACTTTACGCCGGTCTTCTGTGAGTTCGCGGTACTTCCCCGGACGGGCCTGCCCATTCGTATAACAGCCGAATTTGCTTCATGGCCCTCCATAGTGAAAAACACAAATTAGTTAAAAAACGCATTCGACGGCAGTTCAACCACCGATCTATTTAATTTATCGTGGATTTCAAGACCTTGCAGATGTAATCCGTTAGAATCCCTTATCTCAGTAATGTGTATTCGTAAATTCAAATTATGTTAGCAAGTAGGTTAATCTACTAGCTACGCCGCAGCGCTGCACGGATTTAATACCACGAAATTAAAATAGCTTATACGTTGTAACAATACTCAGGACTTAGCTAGCATTCTCTAAAAGTGTTATTAACTTGTAAAATAGCCTCTTTGAAATTCAATTTATACACGCTCCTTATGTACTAATTATCTCATTCACGTACACTTTCGTTTTATTTTTTCCAAAAAGCGTTGTTTAAGTTACACTCATAGGCGTATATAGCGGGGGGGCCGGGTGGGCCGTGAAATATGGTCTAGTGCCCACCCCAGGATTTTGGCTTACTGATTCGAAATTTGGCTGACACCTTCCTTCATCGCCAAAAGCAGATGAATTTTTGATATTGAATTTCTCGAATTTCTTTATATAGGTACAGCGTGTTATAAACAATAAATGAACTTCTAACGTTAATTGGAAAATTCATAAAACAATCTGTAATATATTGATAGTTAAACAAAATCCATAATTAAAAAAAAATTTAAACAAAGTTTAAGTAAAAAAGAAACAAAATTTGTAACCCTATACAACTCGCGCCACAGTGTCGTTCATTATAAGCCTCTCGCGATGTTCTGTCTCTTTTAAACGCATGTAACCACTATGCTTTGTGACCTTTACAAATGAATTTTACGTTACGCTTTTATAGGTAAGGATGTTATAAAATTCTTTGTTGGAAAATTTAATAACTCTGTAAATATTGATGTTTTAAGAATTTAAACGTTTAATACAACTTTAAAAGTTAAAGTTATCCCCTATATGTGTGTTCATTTACTGTCGCGATGGTAACGACACGCTGTATATACTACATGTAAACCTTCCACTTGACTGACATCTATTGTTGAAACAGTGTTCGCTTTTTTTTTTGTAGTAAGGGCCCAGGCCCACCCTGTAAAATAGCCCCAGATACGCCAATGGTTACACTGCATTCCGTTGATCGTCCTTTTCTATTACCACGTACCGTTCCTACCTAGCTAATTTTTGCTGCTATCAAAAGTCTTAGGACGACTGACGACTTAAGGAACGGGATAGCTGGCGCCCTTTGGGGGAGGCTTACGTTCAGCAGTGGATGTTATGTGTGTTGTAGGGGCACAGGTAACGTGAGTCAAAGACAAGCGCTGCATTAAGACTGTTCTAATAATCATTTCTCAACCACCCTCCACATGCTATTACATAATATGACAATTCCTTTTTTCTGAAAAAAAAAAAACTAAATCTATACATATACAATACTTATAGGCGTGATGAGAAAGATAAATTTACAAGATATATAATTAAGTACAGCCTTCAAGAATCATGAAAGAAAATGTTTATATATCCTAAGTACTACTTGAATTTAATTTAGTTCATTAATTTGTATAGATAATATGATATCAAATATTCATTAAACACTCATTTACATACCTTAAATACTCATTATTTGTTTTAATCATTAAATATAATAATAAAACAAATATATCATTGGACCATTACTATTTATAAATAGTAATGTATTGAAAATTCATTAAAAATTAAACATTTCGTTGGCTTACATCTATAATATTTTATATTAAGTGTATTATATTTAACTTATAAATAAATAAAATTATTATTAAATGTATTATCAAATTGAATTTAAATTATATTGGAATTTAATTATATTGAAATGTAATAGTGTAATTTTCGCTCGGCAATAGGCTGATATTGTATTAAAATTCATTAAGATCACTAAACCAGGGATTATTGTTCCAATTAGCGATGGGTTACATTGGTGCCCTGAATCCGGGCAGAAAATAAAGATCTGTCGAAGACCCAACCGCCCCCCTTGATATAAAAATAAAAAAGGCTTCAAGTAGCCCTGATAGCTTAGTGTCCGGGCGCTCGCTTTTAATTGAATAAATCGAGCAACCTGAATTCGAATCCCGGTGCCGGTACGAACGAAATTGTTAATTTTAAGTGGTGATCTATCACTGGCTCAGCGGCGAAGGAAAACATCACGAGGGCCAGTATATTTTCCAAATATTAACAAAGTGTATTTCGAAGATATGTGAAGTTCGCCGATCCGCGGTGGGGCCGCGTGGTGGACTATGCCCTGATACCCTCTGTATAGAGGAGGCCTTTGCCCAGCAGTGGGACATGTATGGGCTGTTACAACGATGGTAGGGCCACGCAACTGTGTTCGCTGTTGAACGACTGGGCACGTCCGTCCGGGTAAGTACCCTCACAGAAGACCGGCGTAAAGTATACGTGTTACCCTTCTGCGTTTCGTCTGGTGAGTGAGGTAGTCAGGGCCCACTTTATTTAAAGGTGCCAATGCGTTTGCAACTCTACGGGTGTTGCAAATGTCCGTAGGCGGCGGTGATCGCATATCATCAGGTGAACTGCATGCTCTTTTGCCACTACCCTACATGTAGGATCCTTAGCTCAAAGGAAAGAAGTAGCGGACTGTATAATATGTATTACGATATTTTATGATACAAAGTATTTAAAACAGTAGTGTGTACCTTCGTCGGTAGGTTGGTGTTGGAAAAGAAAAGTCGGGATCGTTACTTCAAGCGCGCGCGCCGATGACGTTCCGGATCGCGCGTGAACATACATAAATAAATACTTCACTTTGAGTATCTCACACTAATAACACTCACTTATTGCCGAAGAGACGTCCCGACACGACCACCTTCCCTATTTCCGGCTGCTCCAGCTCCGGGCACTCGCGATCTGCGGAGAAGTTATTTCTTAGTCACAATTTGCAACTGGTGCTTCAGGCGGGGGAGCGTACTTCGTGGCAGTCTGTGAGAGGCCTATGTTCAGCAGTGCACTTGAACGGGCTGACAGGATGACGATGATGGTGAGTATAAATTGTGGTGGTTGCGAAATTTCAAAAATTTTTAGTCTCCATTCAGAAGACCGTGAGACATTCAAAATAATTTTATGGTTCTACAAGACTGTGCACATTTTATTTTTGCTGCTGACGTGAGAGGTGGTGAAGCTTTCGTCATACACTGGCCACTATACATAAAAGACAACGAATTTTTTTGGTATTTCATCGAGAGGAAACGTCTTACGACAAAATGTGTCAAAATGTAAATCTTTAATTGTTTTACATAAAGAACATTAAAGGAGAATTACTATGACTACTATAGCTGCGAAGTATTTTTCTCCCAGTTGAATAATGAATGAATTTTATAGTATCCATGTTCATTTATAAATCTAGTTGTGGTGTAGTAGTTGAGGAAATGATTATGGTACGAATCCGAGTTTGTTGTTGAGACGAGTCTTGTTGAGACAAGTACAATGTGTACATTTCTAAAAGCACAATTATGCCTGATACAAATCAGTACTTATGAATTAATAGAGAAACGTTTGCTTATTTGGTAAAACTGCAAAAGTAACAAAAAAAAGTCAAAAATAGTTACGTCCCAGAAATCAATACTTATTTTCCATGAGCTTTAGCAGTCTATGACATCAAAAAGACCTCTGAAATATTTTAATCATGTCCTTTAATGTGGTGTTCTAACCACAGCGGCTTACGAGCGAAAGCCTTTGTTGGTGATATATCGCAAATATTTGAAGTATTATATTTTTGGATAAATTACAAATTTTATGCAAAATTGCACCCTTAGTTTGAAAGAGAACTAATTATCCGTAAACATACTAGTAACGGCTTACTAATAATTTCGGTGAAAAAGAAATAGAAGGTCAATCGACAGTTTCGGCCGAAATTTGCTAGTAAAGTAAAGTAAAGTAAAAGCTATCCCACTGCTGGGCAGAGCCCTCCTCTGTACAGAGGGTATCAGGACATAGTCCACCACGCGATCCCACTGTGGATTGGCAGAGGTCACATATTTTCGAAATATTTTTTTTTTGTTGTTATTTCGAAAATATGCAGGTTTCCTCACGATGTTTCCTTCAGGGCCGAGCACGTGAGAAGACAGCACTTAAAATTAACAATTTCTTTGGTGCCGGCACCGGGGATCGAACTCAGGTTGCTCGAGTATATTGAATTAAAGGCGAGCGCCCGGACACTGAGCTATCACGGCTCGTTTTTGCTAGTTAGTCATCATTTTCGAGTCATGATCCTCAAAACCGTCCACCGTCTAGGTAAATTACTAATATTTGGAGGAGGGTAGTTTTTATTAAAATAATTGGCCGAATCTCGCGGGCGAAAAGGCAATTACCCAAAGGATAATGGATGGACCCTTTCTCGGTGTTTGTCGGAAAATTTTAATTGGAAATGCCCATAAAAGAGGTAATGTTCAAAGTGTATTCGGGAACATATCGCAGTACAATCTGTTGTTAATTACGTTTGATATTACTTACGGGATACACAATAATGACTAAGTGGCTAATCAGGCTGGGGATGCTAATCTGGCTGGGGATGTTAACTTTGCGAATTCTTTTTAAATTTAATTATAGTTCAGTAATCAGAATTTTACTTTCAGTAATCAGTGTGTCGCTTCCAAATTTGTTGAAGTTATATTTTTTCTTACTTATTTTATGTGAAAATGTGGCACACGTGCTGGCGGTTCACCTGATGTTAAGTGATAAAAATAAATGTCGTTGCCAAGTCGTTGCCATCTTTTAATAAAGCGGGCCCCGGCTACCTCATTCACCAGAGGAAGTGTACCACACTTTACGCCGGTTTTCTGTGAGGTCGTGGTTCTTACCCGGACGGACTTGCCCATTCGTGCAACAGTGTACTCTGTTGCATGACCCTAACACAGTTAAATGGTTATGGTCCTACCAAAGTATTAAATCAAATGAAATTGATTTGTAATTCTTATAACGCATGTGAATATTTATCAACCGGAACGGTAACCAAATAATCAAGCAATGTACATTTATCTATTATAGATTAATACTGAAGCAATGTACATTCAGTGTAGATCCATAATAGGAACAGAAGCCGTACAGGACGCATTAGCCATGTAGTAGTTTAGAGAGCAAACGACCTCTAAAACAGCTGAGACAAGTTCCGAGAGATAGCAATGAAACCCAGCACTTGCGGGATCTTGGGAATTGAATAGTTGTGCATCGTTGAATTAAAAAGTAAAGTAAACTAACAGCCTATACATGTCCCACAGCTGGGCAAAGGCCTCCTCTATACAGAGGGTATCAGGGCATGGTCCACCACGCGGCCCCACTGCGGATTGGCGGACTTCACATATCTTCGAAATATTTTTTTTGTTATTATTTCGAAGATATGCAGGTTTCCTCACGATGTTTTCCTTCACCGCGGAGCACGTGATAAGTCAGTCAGGCACTTTAAGGTAAAAACTTCATTGGAGCCGGCACCGGGTATCGAACTCAGGTTGCTCGAGTATATTGAATTAAAGCCGAGCGCCCGGACACTGAGCTATCACGGCTCATCGTTGAATTAATTATCACGTGTTTCTAATTGTGGTAAGGCCACGCAGCAGCCTCTGCTGTTTCAAGGATGACCTCCAGGAAAGTACCACGGCCATAAGACGGACGGAATGGGGAAGTATTGAACCTACTATCGCGTTTTGTCTGATGAATTAGTAGTTTTCAAAGGTTGTTCTCTCAAGTGTTTTAGATGTTTTTTTTGTTTTTTTTTATGTGAAAGTTGCCGAACGAGCAGACGGTTCACCTGATGTTAAGTGAATACCACCGCCCATGGACATCTGCCACCAATGAGGGTTCCAGATGCGTTGGCAACCTTTTGGGAAATTGGGCTCCGGCCACCTCACTCACTAGATGAAACGCGAAAGTATTATTCATCCACTTTACGCCGGTCTTCTGTGAGCTATAGCATATAGCAAATAGCTATAACATATAGCATTTAGCATACATTACAGAATAGCAGATAATGGTGACGCTGTAATGAATTTATTGTATTGTAATTTTAATTTTACATACGTGATAAAGGATATACTTGAATCTTCATCATTAAAGCTTACTACCCAACGCATCTCCAAATCAAGATATTATATTTAAAATGTCAGCAAAGAGATTTTATTCAAAGCGCCAAATTGAATAAGAACGACCTTCTGACCAACTATATAATTTCTTTAATATTAATAATTATTTAAACTTTCATAGCTCGCCAGTCAACGCGGGTGAAAAGAGCAGATAATAAGTTTTTAAATGGACCCCTTTGTAAGATTAAATCCAGTCGAATAGAGTTGGCTTCACTGGAACAAAGGTTTAATTAAGATTCCTGTAGAGAAGGCGCCGTGGTAATATTTTGTTTTGCGGTCAGAATAGGACTCCTTTAATTTCGCTTTGTTGTTGAATAATGATTTATTATAAAAGGCTAATAACATAAAGTAAAAGACGTACCCTAAAGACTTTCCTTCAATTATTTATTTTATTTTAACACAAGTGAATACAACATATGATTACATTAAACCAGTTTGCCATTACCATTTCGTTTAACTTTGGTTTTGAAGTTAATCTTTGGTAAGAAATTTGTATTTTTGTTTTGCGTGAAAGGGGTTGGGTGGTAAGTCTCAAGGACCTTAGCGATCTACAAGATCTATTCTTCCCATCGAAAACATTTCTTGCTGTAGAATAACAATATAATGTATCTGAATACATAAAGTTCACAATCTTTTATATACATAAATTAAACATGAACAAACACCCAGATCGGAAATAAATGTCTGCGTGTCACTCAAATAGTTGTCCCGTGTGATATACGAACCCGCGACCCCCGCAGAGAAGCCACCTTGGCAACTGCGCCACGGAGTCATTGGTTGGAAAAGTCTGGAATTCATCTAAATTGAACGCGATGAAATCCGCAAACTGCTCTTAATTGTATTCAACAACTGATTGCTTTCATCACGGCCGTCCAATGCTTAAGCACTAAGCCTTTGCAGTTATCTTAAAGGTATACGCGTCAGTCCATTAAATGCCCACTCATTTATCCCTAGAAGATATACGTTGCAATCTGGCGGTAAGATGGAGATCGGCAAACTATGTATACATACAATCTTTGTGAATCGTACAATCTTTTAGGCGCATTAGAACGATTAGACACTACATAAATCATTCAAAGAACAGAACGAACGCAAAGAACATTACAGAGCTACGATTCTCCGCATTGGATAATGTTGTTATTGCGATAATTAATTGTTAAAAAGGACATCTATTTGTGTAGCAGATGAGCACACTGAAGAGGTGATGTTATGGTTGAATTGGTTAATCCGTGGCGCAGAAGTTTAGGTATTGGCTTCAGCATCGGAGGTCGTGGGTTCAATCCCCACACGAGATAACTATTTGTGTGACCCACAGATAGCTGTTTCGCATCTGGGTGTTTGTCCACGTGTAATTTAATTATGTAAAACGTCCTTGCAACACAGGATAATATTATCCTAAAGTGAGGGCAATGTTTTTAACAAAAAAAAAAGAGATAAAAAGAAAAGAAATTTGTATGCAAGGGTTAAATTTATTTTAAACTACGAGCATTTATAAACACGGAGCATATTATCTAAAAGCAAGTGAAAAAAGAAAAGTAGTGAAAGAGGCGAAAGAGGCCAAAGATGCCAAAGAGGCAAAGAGGCTAAAGAGGCGGATACCAGTTCGTATTTTATTAGGGCTGTATTTTATTTAGTGATTTTTTTTAAGGTGTATGCGTCTGTATTTTACTCCTTGGTGTGAGAATTAACACTTACGCACGTACGTTTATATATACCAGTACAACAAGAATGCGTATGAAATTTGTGTTACGTACTCCTCCATATTGGGATCTTATA